AGCCCCCACTGCCTCTTCCAGCCTTGGGGTTGGGGACCCTCTTCCCTACCTTTCCAGCGACATGCCACCCGCTTCTCTTGAAGGGAGACGTAGCGGCGCCAGACCCTGAGGGTGTCCCTGCCACCCTAGTCCTCGGCCCGCCACCCCCTCAGGCTCCCCGCAGACGCCGATACACGTTGACCCCGGCTAGGCTGCGCTGGGACCACTTCAACCTCACGTACAGGTGTGACCCTGGGTCTGAAGTCAGTCACCGCCTGGATGCACTGCCCAGGATCCTCTCCTTCCTGACCTTGACCCCTTCAGGATCTTTTCCTGTCCATCACTCCGACCTTGCGCCCCTGGATCCTCTTTTTCACCTCCCCTGACTCCCGCTCCCCTCCCCCGCTAGGATCCTCTCCTTCCCGCGGAACCTGCTGAATCCTAGCGAAACCCGGAGGGGCCTAGCTGCTGCCTTCCGCATGTGGAGCGATGTGTCCCCCTTCAGTTTTCGAGAAGTGGCCCCCGAGCAGCCCAGCGACCTCCGCATAGGTGGGCGCCTGCCCTGTCCCGACCCAACGTGGCTCGCAGCCCGCTCAGCTCCGTGCTCCCCCCAGGCTTCTATCCAGCCAACCACACGGACTGCCTCGCCTCGGCCCTGCACCACTGCTTCGACGGCCCCACGGGTGAGCTGGCCCACGCCTTCTTCCCCCCGCACGGCGGCATCCACTTCGACGACAGCGAGTATTGGGTGCTGGGCCCCACACGCTACAGCTGGAAGAAAGGTGACCCGCATTGTCTCCCCTCGGGCCGTCCCTTCTTGCCCCCGGCATCACCAAAGGGCAGGAGACACTTGAGGGGGTGGCAGGGATTTGGGGTTAAATTGGCTGGGCGGGGAGGTCGCAGAGGGAGAGGCGCAGGCCTGAGGTTCCAGCTCTCCGAGCACCCCCCCAGCTCGCGGCTGCTGAGGGCGCTGAGCTGCATTCCTGGGGCCCGAGTCATCTCCTGTCTCGGGACTTTGTTATCTTCCGAGGCCATAGCGGCTCTACTCAGCATAGCCAGCAGGGTGGAGGCGCCGGGCCAGGGTCTTCGAAATGCTGACCCCTGGGCCTGCAGGCGTGTGGCTCACGGACCTGGTGCACGTGGCAGCCCACGAGATTGGCCACGCTCTGGGCCTGATGCACTCGCAGCACGGCCAGGCTCTCATGCACCTCAACGCCACACTGCGCGGCTGGAAGATGCTGTCGCAGGATGAGATGTGGGGGCTACACCGGCTCTACGGTGAGGGTATGGGATGCAGTGGACCAGGCAGGAGGGCAGGAAGCAGGGATTGGGAGGCGGGACTGGGGGCGGGCCCAGGTGAAGGTAGGGGCGGTCCCTAAATCGGGGCCCCTCCGCAGGCTGCCTGGACCGGCTGTTTGTTTGCGCGTCCTGGGCGCGGAGGGGCTTCTGCGATGCCCGTCGGAGGCTCATGAAGAGGCTCTGCCCCAGCAGCTGCGACTTTTGCTATGGTAATGTCAAATGACCTGCTCGGGCTTCCTTCTCTGCCTTCTGCGGGGAAGTAAGGGCACTGATGTGGCATTTGGCACTTGCCCCTTCCCGGAGCAGAGTTCCCCTTCCCCACGGTGGCTGCCACCCCACCGCCGCCCAGGACCAAGACCAAGTTGGTGCCTGAAGGCAGGAATATGACCTTTCGCTGTGGCCAGAAGATTCTGCACAAGAAGGGCAAAGTATAGTGAGTGCTGGGAGGCGGGAGGAGGGGGGAGGGAATTGAAGAGCCGAAGAGGTGGGGCAATTTCGAGGGATGGTAGATGGTAGTCTAGCCTAGCCTAGCCACCTTCTCCCCACCCCCTTGCAGCTGGTACAAGGACCAGGAGCCCCTGGAGTTCTCCTATCCTGGTTACCTGGCGCTGGGCGAGGCGCACTTGAGCATCATCGCCAACGCCATCAACGAGGGCACCTACACGTGCGTGGTGCGCAGGCGCCAGCGCGTGCTCACTACCTACTCTTGGCGTGTCCGTGTTCGGAGCTAGAGTGCTAATTGCGGCAGGCCAAAGGAGCGGGAACTGATAAAGCACTTTCTCTACTACTTGTCTCTGCCCATTTTTTGAGGGGGTGGTGGTGTGCTCAATCCTGGTGAAGAGTTCTAGAGGTCTCGACAGTTCCCCTTACGTCACAGCTCCTTGAGTTCAGGGTGTGGCCTGTGAAGGCAGTCAGTCCCCATCATATGGTTTGGTCATCTGTGAGGCCTAAGTGCATAGCATGGCTGGAAGCAGAGCCTGGGGTCATACAGGATTTGCCTGGAGACCCCTGAAACAAGACTTCCTGCAAGAGGCGATGGGCTGAGTCTAGGAGGCACCATGCAGCTAGGCCTGTGTAGCCTTTTTTAATAGGGTATCAGAGAGCAAGGCCAGGGCCAAAGACATCAGCAGCAGAGAGGGGACTTGAGGTTGAGGGAAGAATGGTTTATCTAGATAGACACTGACTAGGTCTGGCAGAGGCAAGAGGCCTTCAACCCCTTTTGCTTCCAAAAGCTGACAACTGGGCCTGCAGGTCTTTCCCCTGCCTGGCCATGGTACTGATCTGAGATGGCACAGGAAATGAGGTCAGACAGCTGAGAGCCCCCACTTTGAGCTGCCTTGTGCCAAGGAACCACATCCACCAGACTCAGCTCTGGTCCAGTTGCCAGAAGGAGGACACTTGAGTTTAGGAGGGAACTGCACTGGTTTTTCAAGAATCCCACTGCCATCCACTTGATACTGGGTCATAGTAACCCGATAGGACAGAGCAGTGCTGTACCCTAGTGTTATCTTTACAGACACAGGCTCAGGGAACAGACAGCCTCATCTTTCTCGTTTAGCAGTTAGTGGGTTTGAACCACCGACTTTATGGTTCAAAATTTATACTTAACCCACTATGCCACCAGTGCGCCTTTTTCAACAAGAGTAAACTACATTTAAAATCTCTAACCTATTGTATAGCAGATAGAATGGTGTGGGTCTGGGCCAGGGCTTGCATCTGGGGAAAACCCAGCCCACATGCTTTGGGCCTCTGAATTGTGCAACCTCAAGAGGCATTTGATCCAGATGACAAATAGACGGTCTGCAGGCCCCAGGAGTTGTATCTTGCAAGATTAAAACACAGAAAAAACCCTCCCAAAGCACTGGCTCCAAATTACTGCTCAAATTGTTCTACTGGCACTCAATTTGGCCACATGCATGAGCATGGGTGTGTGGTAGGATGCACTGTACATGTTAGCTCCCTGACACCCAGCTTCTGCATGCTGGGCATCTCCAGAGAAGTCTGGTCCATCTTAAAAAAATACAGCCTTTACAACATGAAAATATGATTTAATTCTACAAATTTACAAGCCAAAAGGAAATAAAAATACAACGTGGAAAACGAAGTAAGAACCTAACAAGGAGCTCTGAGCCTGGGCTCGGTCTCAGCAGCCGCAGCAGCTCAGGTCTGAGGTGGCAGTCTGACAAAGATACCACTTAAGCCACTCTGGTCAGAAACCAGAGCCTGTGTCTCCTGCCCTGCCAGGCCTTGGGGAGTGCAATGCCTCTTGCTCTGAGGTCAGAACTTGAGGCTGAAGCCAGGCCCAGCAGCTGAAGCTCCCTGGTTTGTGGTGGTTAGGTGGAAGCCAGTCTCTTTGAGGTCATCGTCACCCTGAGGACAGATTCAGTGTGCCCATGAGGACCTAGCCCCTGAGGAGCACCACCCATGAAGACCTTTCTGCTCTACTCCAATCACCCTCCCTGTCAGGACCCCTCTCTTCCCCACAGCCCCGCCCTCACCAGCTGGCTGTAGCCCAGGCCCCCCTCAGGTGGCCGCGGGCTGGTGCCACGTTTCACCCGCTGCTGCTCGCTCTTGGCAGGCCACGTAGGGAACATGGAGGGGTCGATGGGCAGTGGGGTCTCACGGAAGTACTCGTGCTTGAGGCCATCTTCAGCATTGATCCTCCGTCCAGGGAAGTATGTCAGGAACCTGGGAAGAGCAAGGCATGTGGCAGCACGAGAAGGTACCAGGCCGAGCCAAGGGCAGCTGTGCCAGGGAGGGGGAAGGCCACTGGCGGCAGGCAGCCAGACCCTCTGGCAACGGCACTTACTTGTTCATGAGGTCGAAGCCCTGGTCTGAGAGCAGCGCGCCGAAGCGCTTGCGCAGGTTGTTGTAGGGATATTCGGTGAATGTCATCTTCTTAACTGCGGGCAGGTCACTATAGCCAGGCCAGATTTTCTCACTGGGGGTCCCTAAGTCCTAGAGAAAGGTGGGGTTGCCGAAGAACAGCCTGATCCCACCTGGCAGCTAACTCCAAGTCTGATCACCAGACTGACCACCATGCCTGCCCAGGCCCAGCCCTCAGCCCCTCACCTTGAACACTTTGTTGATCTGATCAATCTCTGATTTCCCAGGAAACAGAGGCTTCTGAGTCAGTAGCTCTCCGAAGATGCAGCCCACAGACCACATGTCGATGGCCGTGGAGTATTCCTGCAAGGCCAGGTACCTGGCTTAGCCGTGTTGACAGCAGGCGGCCAGACAGGTCTGTGGTCTCGGGGCAGGGCCATCATGGAGCCCTGAAGGCTGCGCACTGCACCCCCTGATCCAGATACCTGAGTGCACTCACCTTGGCACCGAGCAGCAGCTCCGGGGCACGGTACCACAGAGTCACCACAACTGGGGTGTAGGCTTTCAGTGGGGACCCATACTCACGTGCCAGCCCAAAGTCACCCACCTGGAGAGGCAAAGGAATGAGCTATAGCTGGGCCCTGTGGCAATGGGGTGGCCCGGGTGTGAACGGGGTAGGAGAGGCATGGGGGTGGTGTGTGGATTGGGGTCCACCTTGAGGACGCCAGCATGGCTCAGCAGCAGGTTGGATGTCTTGAGGTCACGGTGCAGGATCCAGTTGTCATGCAGGTGCCTCACTCCCCGAAGAAGCTGGATCATCAAAGTCTTCACCTCCCCTAGGGGGACAGGTAGGTCACACATCCATGGGCATAGGACACGTTGACTATGAGGGATGGTTCCCTTGGGATGTCTGATCGGAGCCTGAGAGCTTGAAAGTTCAATGCTTCAGGCACCGGCAGGTCAGGGCTCTGAGGGGTCAGAGTTCAAGGATGGCAAGTGCTGCTAACACCCCCACCACTAAGGACCCCACTGACACCTGAAGGGTTAACCAAGGCGTGGCACCTCCACCACAGCCTGGTGCCCCCACCTGGCAGGAAGGGCTGTTTCATGGTCTCCATCAGACTCTTGAGGTCGTGCTCCACATAGTTCATCACAATGTAGATCTTGTCCATGTTGCTGCCCACGACGATCTCCTAGAAAAACGTCAGAGTGTGGGTGTGGACGCACACTCAGGGGGCCTGCAGGACACAGGCCCCTCATCAGGACTAAATGGGTAGGTGCGGTGGGGACTAGCAGAGCCTTACCCTGACAGTGACAATGTTGGGGTGCTGGGCCTTGAGGATGGTGTTAATCTCTCTCAGTGATGTGATGGGAAATCCCTCCTTTTCCTTTTCCATTTTTAGCCGTTTCAAAGCCACAATTTCATCTGTAATAAAAAGAGTTTAAAAAACAGGAGCTGAGAAAATGCTCTCACAAGATCACATTTAGAATCTCAGTGGCTGAAGAGGCTTTCTCCTATACCCAGCACCTCCAGGGTCATGAGGAGGCTGACAGACCTCGGTGTCTCCAATCCTCCAAATGGTCCTAGAGACCACATGGCTATTCGCCCTGGGTTTTCAGAAAACACAGCCATGTGTTGGGGGAAGCTGCCTCAGGAGTGACCATAGACACATGCTCTGGAGGCCGAGTCACTGAGACTTGACACAGGATAGGGTGCACAGGGACACCCAGTGTCATGGAGGGGACTATCTATTCAAGGCAATCAGAGCCATCAGCAGCCCCTTAGCTGTTTTCACCAGCAGCCCCTTAGTTCCTGCGTCTTTCCATGGGTGACCTCCACTTGCCAATGCTTCTGCCTGTCTCCATACACTCTCCTCTGAGAGCCAACAGATACTCTGGGCTTGCCGGAATCACCAGGCTGTACTAGAACACTCTGGCCCAGCTCTCACGCATCTTGCCCACCTGGGCTCTCAAGTCAGAGGACGCCAGGTTCTCCGGACCCCAGTCCTTTCCCACTATTATTCATAAGACTCCCGAGGACTCTACCTACCTGTTTTCTTGTCCTTTGCTCTGTAGACCACACCATACGTGCCCTCTTCAATCCTGTTCAGGCACTGGAACTCCTCAACACTCCGGCAGCCCTAGGGAGAGTGGGGCATGAGTGATGGGCCAGGACCCCAGATGAATCATGTACACCCTCTCCTTCAGGACCTGGGCTAGGTCAGAATCCCCGCCCCCCAGATATGGTCAAGGACACCCCCTCCTCAGCTCTATGAGCTTGTCCCTCTGCCCATCCAATGCCCACAGAGCAGTGTGGCAAACTCCCTGAATGTGTCTGTGGGATGCACCAAAAGGTGAGGCAAAGAGGGGGACCAGGGGCCAATTTCTGCCCTCCTTTCGGGAGCACAGACACTTTATCATAGATACAGTGACCCAAAACCACTTCACACTGGCCCCTCACGTGCTGAAGACCCAGAGCTGCCTGCCTTGTGCCTCCCCATGTCTGAGGACACAGTGGTGCGACAGACCAGTGCCGGCCCAGCTGGGCTCCACGTGCCTGTCTGCGAGAGACGTTCCTGCACTAGCCTGGCCATCTGTCCATGGGCCGAGGTCCCTCACACTCAGTATGAGGAGGCAAAGGCAGTAGTCAGCTCTCCTGTGCCCAGGATGCCGCCTCTTGTGGCTACTAATGAGACCCAAGGGTCCTTTGAGCTCAGTGTGGCTGAGGACAGTCAACAGGGCCTAACGACTCAGCCTGCAGGCAAACAAGGTCAGCACGTGACACCCAACTGTCATGCCCACCTCACCCCACTGTGCCTAGCACAGAGGTGTGATCTGCTTCCACCCTCCCTGGACCACAGAGGGGGCACCATGCTGTGTGGTCACGGCGGCAGGGGCTGACCTG